ATATAAAGATTCTACGGGCTATGTTAAATCTTTTCATGTTTTTCAGCATTCTAACATTCTCAGGCAGCAAGTTGTAGAATTTTGGACCCAAATAACTAATAAATCTTTGGTTGATATTTTTATAAATTTTGGAATCTGCAGTTTGCCCAGTGTCCTACTCCTTGTCGCATGACAATGGTCAACATATTTCTTCAGGTTCTATCCCTTGTGGACATAAGAGCATACAGATAGCACATGTAAAGATCTAACATTATTCATTATACAGAAGACTAGTTGAATATAGTTTTTCTTTTTTATTCATAACCTCAAGAATATAGTTTTGAGTAACATTGAGTAGAACTATAAACCCCTCCCCATATCACGATTCCATATGCAATTAATGACTCCACCAGTGCTTTATAGATCATAGTTAAAAGCTGTTTTTACATTATTTCACGCAAAATATTGAATTTGTAAAAGGGCTTCCCAAGATTGTTTTTCAATCTAAAAACGTGGTCTTCCTATTTAAGATGACAATCAATAATTATGCCCAAATATTTCGTATTAGAAACCTTTTATTGATTTATCCATCCCATTTATGCCAATGCTAGAGAAATTAGGATTAATATTAGTTGAAGAGAATGCTATATAATGTATTTTATCTAAATTCAAAGAAAGCTTATGATAATCCTGCTAATTCCTGACAATAGAAAGGCCCTCAACCACCATAATATATCTCTAACAGAGTCCCAGTTCCTGGATGAGAAAATCAAGACAGTGTCGTTTGCATATGAAATGATGGAACCCCCAATATCGAGCTATCGCCCCTTTTTGGGCTTTAGTCAAACCGCTCCAGGGATGCCAAAAGTTTACTTTGACTGACTGTAAAAATTAACCATTAGGTGTTGGATCATTTAAGCCTTGTATTGGGTAAGGGGTGCCTTGATTTTCATTTATACAAATAAAACGCTGAAATAGAATAATTATTAATTTAATTAATAAATGAAAGTAATTCGGTATAGTCAGCAATCAAATCCTATCTGAAAATTCCTAATTGGACGTCCAGTCGAACTACAAATTTTATACTAATCTAAAGTAAATGAGTATCTTGATTTATAAAAGGTAGGGAAATCTGATAATGATAATATCATTTATGGTTAAATGTTCAATAAACGAGAACACAAATTAACTAATTAAATGCACGAGAGCACAACGTAAATAATTCGTCAACTTCAATCAGTTCACTGTAATCACAAAATGTTTATTGATCCTTGAAAGTTCTTTTATTTATCGAGAGTTAACAATTTGAGCACTTTTCTGCGGAAGTCTGTAAACAATATGTGCAAGAAAAGTCTTTATATATGCTCAGTTTCTATATACAAATGTACAAATGTTAATTTCACGAGTGTGAAAACCAAATTTCTGCATTAAACGTTAGAAAACACTTCAATTTATAGTGCATTTCAAGCGAATCACTAATCATTATTTATTGTTCGACTGTTAGAGAAATTGTAACGGTCTTACTTGCTTAATCCGGTTCATGCCGATATATCCACAAGGCGATTATTTATTCGTTTATCACCACTATTCACACTGGCAGCTAGGGAATGTTCCACTGAGATGAAAAGAAAACACAACGATATACAGGCGCGTTGCATCCCGTCGAGAGTGAGATAGAGCCAAAAGACAATCGCGTAGGAGAGATTTTTGCTCGTCCAAGGTGACTTGCAACAATTAGGGGTTGATTACATGAATTGTAATCAATAATATAGACCATGTCAGGCCTTGAGACACAGAGAGTAGTATTTTACTATAAATCACGCGTACTAACGGGGGTTTTTGGGGGTTTTGCCTCTGGAGTGCATTCAGAGGGCACGAGGGTGCGAACTCTTCGCTTATTCTAATAGTACTGAAGAATGTCGACCAGACTCTGCCAGGGGAGCAGGTCGCAAAACTAAGGATTTTGTGTGGCGGCTGACCAATCACAGCTGCGAAACAGATTCACTTTATAAGGTAATGAAGAAACCTGTAATTTTATTGGTTCAAACGGTTTTTGTTGCCGGTTTGACAATATAAATAGTTCCAGCAATTGCATCTATTTTTAGAATATAATTTTTATGGTAAATAATAGAAATTGAGATATATTAAATTAGAAATAATAAAAATTAAACTTGTTGTGAGTTATTTCCACAACAATCATAAAGGTAATATAAGTAACAAACGGCAAGAGGCCAAGTACGGTTCTTTGTGGGAACCCACCATGGTTTCAAGAGGATCACTGTGAGCATTTCTTGTTTTCAAAATTTGTTTTCTGCCTTTCAAATATGATACAAATACTTCCAACGCGCTAACCCTTACACCATACTTTTCGAGTGTGTTCAATAACAAATCATGGGGCACAGTATCAAAGGCCTTAGCTAGGTCCAAGAATACAGCAATGCTGCTTTCTCCACCATCTAGCTTTTCAGTTGTTTGTTCCACCAATTCATACATAGCTTCACCCACAAAGCCAAACTGTTTTTTTGATAAAATTGAATTCTCAACCAAGAATTTCATCAATCTCATACCTCCTTGAGACATTTTTCAAATATTTTTCCAAAGTTATTGATGACATATTAGCTACTGATATCATTATTATTGCCAGCCTTATGGATGGGTGCCACAACAGCAATTTTAAATTCCGCAGGCACCATACTGGTCTCAAATATCAAACTTACAATAGGAGATAATAAGAGAGGTTTTATAAATATTTTTCAATGTCTCTAGATAACAGAAACAGACATTTTACTAAATTTCCAGGTATACCAACCATTACTGGATGTGTATGGATTGGTTCAAAATTCTAATAACTCTTTTGCGAATTACAAATTAAATATCAAAGAACTCTAGAACTTGCTTGGTTATTTCTTCCAACTGATCATCATGTCAAGATTCTACTATAAGCTCAATAATTTTTCAGTAGTTATAAGAGGATCATGGTTGGCCTTGAAATTAAACAATTGCCTTTGATGATGTCATTGCCTTTGACACATAAAGAAATAACCTGAAATATAAGTAATTTCAAATATTTATATTGAACTTAAGTGGATATGATCAGTGATCATTCATTGTAGTAAATGTTCTTGGACTTGTTGGCCTTGGTTCATCGCAATTGTAGGCGATTCGTAAAATAAATCAATAACAATAATGCTACATATTATCCTATATTTTTTGAGCAATTGTACCTACCTACATGAAAAATACATTTAATAATTCATAATAGGTATCCATATCTATAAGAGTTATGAAATTAGATATATGTTTGCATATGTTTATATATCTAGATATTTTTATGAAACCTAAATTTACCCTTACTTTCTTCATAGTTTTCGCAATTTTCATAAGATCCTTTACCCCTCTAACGTTGATATGAGCAGCAAGTCTTAGTTTTTCATCGAACCTCACTGTGACAGCAAGATGTATTACAGAATCGACTCTTTGGATCAACTTTTCTCTGTCAGATTCATTCAATCCTAAATCTAGCAAACCCACGTTTCCAATATGAATTATTGGTATAAAATTGTACTTATCCTAATTAGGAATTCAATTTTTGGTACATCATCATCATCATCGTCGCGGGGGTCTTACAATCTTCGCGCATTTCGATCGTCATTTTTTACAGTCTCTCCATTCTTCCTCGTCTATCGCTCTATCATTCATATATTTTTTTAATGTTATCTATTCATGTTAGCGCCGGTCTTCGTCCTGTTCCATCAATAACTCTCTTTGGCCATCTCTCCTTCTTTATTCCTATAACATGCCCATACCATAAGAGCTGTCGGGTGTCTATTCTTTCAGTGGTTCTATATATTCTTCCTGTTCTAAGAATTTCAGTGTTTTGTACATGCTCCAGTTTCGAAACTCTGCATGCCTGTCTGTTTCCACTGCATCTACCTTGATGATGATTATAAGCAGTAAACTTGCTTTAAGCCTTTTGTAAATTTAAAACTTTCTGAATCTTGATTTCCTACTTTTACTATACTCTGCGGGTTTTTATGAATGTTACTAATGGCTCTTGCGTATTCTTTACTGGGGTTAGTTTGTCAAAACTTCCATAAGTTTTCTGAAGGGCACTGGGTGTGTAGACAGATTTCGACCTTTCCTTTTTTCTATGATTTGTTGTAATGTGAAAGTGCCATCCATCCATGAACGTCCCACACGAAAGCCATTCTGCTCTTCTATGTCTGAAAATGCCATTTCAATTTTTCACACTTATTCCTTTATAGTTTCCACAAGTTTTTAGATCTCTTTTTTTGTGGATGGTACTTATGTGTGATGAGATATTCCAGCCTGCAGGTATATAGTGTGCTCTTTTAGTAACAGATCCTTGTATATATCTGATAGAATTTCCATCCGATCTTTGGCACACATTTGACTAGCTCGACAGAAATGTTTTCTGGCCCCAGAACCTTTCCATTTTTCATATCTTATACATTTGTTCTAACCTCTTTCGCCGTTATGGCTTTTACATGATTTACTTCATCTTCGCTAATCTCCTCAATCTGTCCCTTAAATTGTTCTCTTTCTTTCAAGAGCTTCTTGTAGTGTTCAGTCCATTATTCCATGGATACACTTTTCTTCACGTTCTGCATAGTTTTCCATGCTGTTGCCACCCTTGAACCTCCCAAATACTTTACTGTGTCTTATTTGGATATATTTGTATTAACCTTGTTTACTCGATTTCGATTTTTCCTGTTTTTTGGTACATTGTCACCTAATTAATGTACGAGTATCCATTTACATTTGCAACTTGGTATCGGCATCGCATACAAAAGCCAAATAAGGGGTAAGTACTCGACCATATTATAAGATGTAGATTAAAATATCAGTTGGTAGGTAATATCCTCTAAGTAGTTAATCCTAAACTTATTAAGTTTTTCCCTGAAGACTATTGCCCCAAAGTATAGAATGTTTTATTCCCAAGCCACACTGAGTACATACAGCGTTCAGAATCAATGGTATAAGGAATTAATACAAAAGGATATAAATAATATAGTATATATTAAATGCCTGTTAAATATTCAATGTTAAATAGCTTACACAAATAAAGATACTGAAAACGTGAACAAGGCTAAGAGCAGTCTAAATACTAACAACCAAAATACAACAAGTATGAAATAATGGAGGACGAATAGCTTGCGATATTTCTTTTTTCCTTGCGGAATGGTGCTCAAGGGATCTTTCAATAGATAAACTCTACAGCCTAAAATAAGATATTATTTATTTACTATGTTAATGCTAAAAAGGTCTTTTAAATTTTTTTGGTACAAAACCTGCAAAGCTTGTGTAACTCAATAACACATTTTCAAAAACAAAACAATATAAATACTTACCTCTGCAATAAGTGTAGATATACGAATCCCAATTTAATTTTTCAATATCGAAGTCGAAAAGCTCCTGATCATATTTCTTCATTCTTTTCCACAACGTTTGCGTGTTATTATTTCCAAAATTCCAACTATTCATTGTGAAATATTCTATTACCTTAGTAAATTTGTTTATTTTCTGATACCCTTTCACAAGCCTACAATACGTTAATTTTTCAATCAATATTCTTTCACTTTGTTCAAAAAAATCAGTTTCCAAGATTCTGAAGCCTGAAGCAATCCTACTTACATTGGTTTCTTTCCCAAACAAGTCAATGTAAAATCTACAATATAGGCTGGGATGGTATGTAAAAAGAAACATGCCAAGAGGTTATCATAGTAATTTGCTCTTAATTTGAATGAGTAATACCACAAGCATTTTTCGGAAGGAATTCGTTTACCATGTTTTTCAGTGATAGATTGATAACCGGCTAAAAATAATCATAATTTGAAAATAATTCAGATTATCTTTCTAAACTCTCACCCCATGTCAATGGATTCTGAGCAGAACTAACACAATTATATATCGGAACATCTTGTTCAATTTTGAGGCTTCCTTCAGTCTGATCTTCTTTGTTGTCATTCACAGATCTATAGCATTAAAGAAAAGTTAGACATGTGATTAAATATAATTTTCAAGTATCTAGCCTTATTGTTGCTACATCCCACATGGTAGCTAAACAACTATTAACAACATAGTCAGCAGGGATCATTTCGGCTTTATTATCCTTTTTTCCACGGATCGTTCTTACAAGTCCAATTCCTACGGCCATGAACAGTCCAGTGGTACCATAAAAATTATCGATCCAACCTGATATTGGTTCTTTTACAGTGGGAATAACTAAAATATAATTATTTGGATGTTGTTACTATAATAGATGTGTTTATTTATTTAGACTCACCAATCGAGGGTCTATGGATAGCAATTGGCAAATTTTTGCCCTCCTTTCTTAAAACGTCTTCGGCGATACATTTTGTAAAAGTGTATGTATTTGGAAAATCTTTGATAACCCTGAAATTTCATGTAGTTGTAAATTATCTCACTCGACTATATTTGTGGAATAAATTTATGAATATTATTCTCGGTTCAATTCCATTGATAACTTGACGAATATTTTCCGTTAGACTTTCTATTCGACAAAATATAGGATAGGTAACCTCATTTCTCAAAATGATTGCATTGTCTGGCCTGCAAAATCGTGTGATTTGAGCTCTCTGGATTTTTTTCTTTGGGGTTTCGTCAAAGATGAAGTCTCTGCTTACAATTTCCAGGCAATTGATCTGGATTGTCATGAGCTTGAACCGAAATATTCGCTGTCAGAAACAATCAAGGAGCGATTTTGAAGCACTTTATCCTTATTCAACAACTTCCTTAATGGAAAATCTATGGATTTTAGATTATTCTGCTTTTGTAGATAGTTAGGGCCTCTACTGCATCTTTTGCTTATATTGGTTGAAAATTCTAATAACTCTTTTTCCAGTGTATACAAACTAAAATATCACATTTAAAACTTACATGTCGGTTATTTTTCCCAACTGATCGTCATCCAAAGAGTCTACTAAACTCAATAATTTGTCAGCGGTCATAGGAGGTTCGTAAAATACTTCATCTACGGTTTGCCTCGACAATAAACAATTTGAGAAGGCCGTCGATACATAAAGAAATACCTGAAAAATAACTAATTTGAATAGGTGTTTTGAACAAAAGTGACAGTTGAATAGATTATAATTATTCCTTGCAGTAGGTAACTATTTTTCAGCGTAGGTAACTCCTACTCTACTAGCATTCCTGTTCACCAAAGTGGTTTTCTGAAGTACCTACCTATGTCCAAACTAGGATAGCTTTCTGATCAGAGTAGGTAGGTACCTACCTACATCGAAAAAAAAAAGATACAATATAAGCGTTTAAGCAGAGCAGAGTTTAAGTCTACAAGTCCACTGGCTGTTTGAGAAAATCATTCGTTTTACTGTCAAGAACACTTTCTGAATTGATAACTTTTTGCCATTTTTATTTCTTATAGGAGGCTTTTTGCGTCTTTCAAATTGTTCACTTACATTAGATAAATGACCAATAAAATTTAAGTGAGTAGGCAACAATATGGTTTTTTTATAATACATAATCAAACTTACCTTTAGTTTCTTCATATTTCTTGCAAGTTTAATAAAATCCCTAACGCCTCTAACGTTGATATGAGCAGCAAGTCTTAGTTTTTCATCAAACCTCACTGTAGCAGCAAAATGTATTATAGAATCAACTTCTTGGATCAACTTTTCTCTGTCAGACTCATTTAATCCTAAATCTGGCAAACCAACGTCTCCTTCTACTACGTGAACTTTATTTCTAAAGTTAGGGTCGTTTCTTTTTAGAACGTCGAACGGCTAAAAATTGGTAAAAACAAAATGAAGTTATTGGTAAGTATTATAAATAAGCCTTAGACAAATCGATCAAATTTATTTTATTTATCCAAAAACGATCCCAAATTCTTATAAGTGCTCTAAAGTAGAGGTAGGCACACTAAATTTGCTCTCTAGACGAATACGTACCGGTTCATCAAAAATAGCTTCTAATCTTTCTTCAATATTTTTTCCTTTTTTCGTTCGGATCAGTATGAAAACTTTTTTCAAATCCGGACATGTTCTCAATAATTTCTCAAGTACAAGTTTTCCTAAATAACCTGTAGCTCCAGTAATGAAGATGCACGAGTCCTTATAAAATTTCTTTATTTCGCTGTCCTCTTCTGATGCGATCATGTCTAAAGCTGTAATATCTTGTCCTTGTTGCTCGTAGATGTTCATGTTGATAGATCTATCTAATGTAAAAAATATATAATAATACCTTATAGAATTATACCGAGTAGTCCTGTTGTTAATTTTGAATCGTACCTATATATTGGCAAATATCCTATAACTATGCGAAAGTCTAGCTATGTCTAGTGCTAAATTTGGATCATGAGAATAATTTTTTTTTTATTGAATAACTTTTCTTTTTGGAAACAAAAATTCAAATTAGCAATGGTAATCAAAAATAGGTGAATGTTTCAAACTCAGTCTAAAAGTTTAAAAACTTTATAGTTTACTTGCGTCATGCTTTGATTTATGTGCTCTGCGTAATAATAGGACTATTCAGCAATGTTTTTCGGTAAGCTAGAAACAGACCAGGAATTAAAAATGGAATACCTAATTCAAACTATGAAAAACATTTTAATTGGTTCCATTATCCACGTGTTTTGGCCACATTATTTTACATAATATGCGAGTATTCATTAACATTTTTTTACAATATAGATAGAAGATGCTTTAAATTAAAATTCCTGTGAAAGTTTAAGTGAATGAGGTCTCATTTCTGCAGTCGATTGTAGATTAAACTAATTTACAGCTGTTAGTAGATAATATTCACTAAAAATTATTCCAATGCTTTGGATTTTGACGATACTAAAAAGCCATTGTCCCAGTTGAATCGATGGTAGAGTATTTTCAGTGGACCAGCATTTAGGTACTGTGAAAGTTAGTGGTCATCAGTTAATTTTTTCTAAGTTGAAAGTTTAGAATGCTACAAAGAAAAAAAATTGTAGGTAGGTATACATGTCCAAATTTCAATCAATGATACACCCCGTATTCCTTAAACAAATAAGTTATATCCATATCAGTATTCAATATTATTGTATTTTTTCAAATAATTAATATTGTAATTATTGCATTTTTTTTATCAAACAAACTGTGTTTATTACATTACACAACATTACATTATACAATCTTATAAATTTACAATTCTTGAGGTAAACTCAACATTTTCCCCACTTTGTTTAAATTGTGAATCACAATAATTGATGTGTTTATAGCACTATTTTGTTGTGTTTTTTAATTTTAATTTACTAGCTCAAACGGTTTCACCCTTGTCATCTTCGAACTAGCTCAGTGTTGTCCATGTTCCTTAATATATATATTATTTTGGAATCTTTGCATAACCTGTATGTTACTCTCTTTGATTGTTACAAATTAAATTCAATTTATTTGTAATTTAGAGCAAGAGAACCTAATGGGTCGAGGAGTTCAAAAAAAATAATAATAAAACATGTAGCCCCTTTATATGCAAATGAAACCACTCAAATTCAAACAAACAATAATTTTATTTTCACAAAGTAAGTATACATATAACAATGTGTTGAATTTATTCTGAAAATTTTGAAGTTATACATTACTTAGCTCGACACTTTTTCTAGTGAATCTGATACAGAGTATGTACCTTTTCAATTCGGAGCTCTTCAATAGATGTTGGGGTCTCACTGCCATTATTTCCTATATTCAGAGAAGAGGATAGATTGTTGGTGTCACTCCAGCTGATCCAGACTCCTATTGAGCTTTTATGTGGAATGGGTACCCAGAAAAGCAGTATCAGCTTCACCAAGGTTTGGAATATTAAATTCCTGAATTCTGTTAAAAAGCGAGTATCTTACGGAGAAATATTAAAATGAAATTAGCTTATCATAAAACTATTGTTGAGCAAAGACTCCTTTCCAACAAAATCAGATATGAGCAACTATTGAAAATTGGAAAATTATTCTTATAGAAAAACATTTAAAGCTAAGGTATCGGGTCTTCAAAAAAAAACAATCAAAGATTGCTTTGGTTACAATAACGCAGGTCGCATTACTGTTTCTTCATTGGTTAGGATTATTGACATGACATTTTGACATTAAAGTTCATTGACAAAATTAAAGAAAAATATTGCTAAGACATACGTTCAAAAAACCATAGCAATCTTTGATTGTTTTTTTTGAAGACCCGATACTTACTATTGGTATCACAAGATAAAGTTGAGGTGAAATAAATTAAATCCAGGAACTGTCAAAATTCTTAAGATGTTTTAATTAAAACTTTTTAAATGAATTTTTACCCTATCCGGATTTCTATCTTAAAACTTCACCTTTTCAGCATTCTCCTTCTTGAGAAGATATTGAGGGAGTCAAACAATAAATGGCTTGAAAGGTTTCTGCCTGGATTCAGTAAAGTGTTGATAGGGATGGGCACACAAATTCGGTTTACACCTACTCTATTTAGAGAAAATGGTCCAATAATCCCACACTAACAATTACATCCAAATACCAAAGCAGCAATACCTATTTATCAGCCAAAACTTTGAATTGTCTCCCCTCAGAAAAATGTGGTACTTACCTACCACACAAAATGGAGTTTCACAATAGATTAACAATTAAAATATAATATTTATATTTTAAAGGTAGATGAGATAAGATATCAGATAATAGAAACCCAACACTGATGGTGAAATAAATTGAAAAATATTAAGGGAAAATCTAGAAATTTAAAAAGAAATATAAAAAAAAATAAAACAGGACTTGCCTGTTCAACTAGTTGCTAGAGAAGAGACCTTTTAAGAACCCAATTTTTATTAGGAAAACGAGTAGGCGAACTCTCTAACTCGATAGAAACAGAAATAGAAAAATAATAGCAAAGAAAAAAATTACCTACCTATCACCTGAATTCTACTTGTCCGCTGTCAAAGGTGACAAACGCAATAGTTTTTTACAGGACCCCGCACACTTCTTATGGGATTTTGGTTGAACGCGGACTTTAACCAAATTTTGGTATGTTGTATATTTCGACCTCCTGAGTAAAAGTTCTCATGGGTACAATCCGATTCTATGACTACTTTCGGATATACGGGGGGTTTTCTTATACTAGCTTAGGCAACATAAGTACCTATATGAGGAGTACATAAAGCAAAAAAACGTGCATTTATTGCTTTAAAAGTTGTTTATTTTATCTTTCCTTAACTAAAAATGTTTATTAGGTAGTAGGTGTTCGTAATTCTTCCTTTATATACCAGAGACGCTCAAAAACTATGACTATTACTAAGGTAAATGAGTTAAAGACCAAAAGTTTGAAAAATTGTGTACTTGTAGGTACGTTTTGTGATAAAAGTGACTTTCTATCCCTCAATGAATTCCATTCTTGCTACGGTCGTGCTAAAAGCTTCTCGCCTCATGATCCCTTGGCCTAGGGTCTAAGCATAGACATTGTTTTGAGTATTGATGAATAATATGCGTAATATACATCCATTTTCTATAGTTCAATGTGAATGATTACTCATACAGTGAGTTTTTTTTCATTACCCAATTATTTTCAACCAATAAAAATATCCTGGTCTCAGTACTCCACTCTTTAAGACATAGAAATTCAATCTTTCAATTAGGCAATTCAAACCACGTGACACTCAAGATGGCGTGGCGGCTACACATGGGCCAAAAAACATAAAAAAATATCTATTTTCTGCCCGATTTAATAGTTTAGGTACCTAGCCAATAAATATCGTATTAAATAATCAAAATCAAAGTTACAAGTAAAAATCTAAGCAAAATAATTTAAAATACACATAAAAACATATTCAAAACAAGCTTGCTTGGCCGCCACGCCATATGGAATTTTCCTTTTTGACTGATGGATTAAATTGTCTAATTGGTAATTTTGACAGCTGATTTGGACAAGATTGTGCGTATCTAACCTCACTTTTTTCTCCAGCTATCAAAATTATCAATTAATTTTGTTACGAAAATTAAATAAAAAAACCGCATAACTCGTGCCTATAACTGTTCCTCATAGTAAAAGTATGGTATTCTACTCGTGTGTAATGGCTATTATTCACACGGAGGATTACACTACTCGCCTGCGGCTCGTAGTGCAAACTTCATCCTTCGTGAGTAATAGCCATCATTACCCGCTCGTTGAATAATATACTATTTTAATATGTCATATTCTACTTGGTTATACAATGGAAACAAAAACAGTGACCCTGTGAATAAAGCGAATTGTCTTTTTTGTCACCTTTCCTAATGTCTGCCCAGCGAATCTGTGTCTACGGGGCAACGGTAAGGGGAATGCAGTTGTAAAAAAAAATGGCTGATTTCATTCATAAAATACCCAGCTGCGTGCGGAACTTTTTGGAAGTGTTATCGTATTGCAACTCGTACACGAAAATTGACAATGACCAAACCTCCGCCACTGGATATTTCAATATAAATTGATATTCCAAGATGGGAGGATAAAATGACGTCAGGCCTGGCCAATAGCAAGACATAAGGTGACGTTGGCTCATTGACAACCGTATGGTTTCCCATGGCAATGGCGATCCTGCCAAAAACTCCACCAATCAGGTTCATCCAGGCCGGATGCTTGCCAAATTGTCAAAAGCGGATGGTATATTTAGAAAATGTTTATTTTTTACAATAGATCAAATTGAAGAAATCAGGAGAAATAAGAATAGATCTAACAACCACGTTAAAATATTTAGTGTTTTATTATTGTTATCAATATTTTCTTATTAAAAAATGGATTTTCAAATGAACTATACTTCATGTCTAGTATTTTCGCTTTTCTATAATTAAACGTGGCAATATGGCGCATTTACATCCGAACTCCTGCCGTAGACTCAGATCCGCTGGGCAAACAATATAAAAATGGCATTTCGGGCAAGGTATATGTGCTACGTGTGCAATGAAGGACTATAAAGTAAGTCGCACTGTTTTATTACGGGAAGATACCGAAGTCCGTAGATTGGCTGTAAAGCAAGGAAACGAGTTAGGATTTGAGGATGAAGATGAAAATATTATTGTTGAGAATTCAAGGTATCTGGGTAGTTTGTCATACTTCTATTTGTGTTTGTTTTAAAAACGCAGAAAGACCCATGAAACAAGTACTTTTTAAAATACCCTCGTACATACACTTACTATAATATAGGCACCTAACTAAAAACATGCACCTTTTCAGAAAAGGTCCAAACTTATTCAACATTTTTTAAAGCTACCTACCACAAATAAACGCAAAAAGCATGAAATTTCAGTAGTTTCAAGTTGCCTGAGGTAGTATTAGAAAAACCCCCGTATATCCGAAACTAGTCATAGGATCAGTTTGTACCGATGAGAACTTTTACTCAAGAGGTCGAAATGTACAACATACCAAAATTTTGATAAATTCCGCGTTCAACCAAAATCCCATAAGAAGTGTGCGGGGTCCTTTCTTTCGGATATTTTGTAACCGCAGGCTTGTAGATAAAATACTGTATATAATACGTATGGTAATTAGGTTATTACCGCCCTTAAAGATTGCAAACCTCGCCTCACTGGCTCGGTTTGCAAATTTC